TGCCACATTTAAACAATACTTTGAAATTCACTGTATACTTCACACGTTTTAATATATATGTATATATAGATATTTCTAACGCTGGCAGCACCTCCACGTGGAGTAATGGTTAGAAGCTTGTCTTGCTAGATCAATTACGAATGAGTAGTGAGTACAATGCTCACTAGAAGCCCCATACTTTCGGCCTTGTGCCACATCTAAGTCGCGCTTAGAAAATCACTATATTACTAAAGAAGCAATTTTTATTCATTAAACTGTATATTTACTTATTTTCATCTACGGGCCTGAGTTTTGGAGAAATCTTTTTAAAGAAAATTTTGCAATCTCCGGCAGATGGAGCTAGGTTTTAGCGTTGTACGCCTTAACCAACTTGGCCACAATGAGCAGTCGGTCAAGCGAGGCCAAATTTTGTGCCTTCAAGCGTAACGTCTCTGGTCAGAGAATTTCTGAAATTTTGTCATATCTGCACAGTTTTGTGTCCAAAGGTAAAGAAAGAGAATTTTTAGAATCGATTTTTTATTAATCCGAAAGATTAATAAGAATGTCCACTTTTATTAATCCTTAATATTAATACGAGTGTCTACTTTTATTAGTCCGATAGAATAATAGGAATGTCAAATTTTATTAATCCGACAGATTAATACGGGTTTCCACCTTTATTAATCCGACAGATTAATACAATGTCCACTTTTAATAATCCGAAAGATTAATATGAGTGTTCACATTAATACAATGTCAAATTTTAATAATCCGAAAGATTAATATGAGTGTTCACATTAATACAATGTCCACTTTTAATAATCCGAAAGATTAATCTGAGTGTTCACATTAATACAATGTCTACTTTTAATAATCCGAAAGATTAATCTGAGTGTTCACATTAATACAATGTCCACTTTTAATAATCCGAAAGATTAATCTGAGTGTTCACATTAATACGATGTCCATTTTTAATAATCCGAAAGATTAATCTGAGTGTTCACATTAATACAATGTCCACTTTTAATAATCCGAAAGATTAATCTGAGTGTTCACATTAATACAATGTCCACTTTTAATAATCCGAAAGATTAATCTGAGTGTTCACATTAATACAATGTCAACTTTTAATAATCCGAAAGATTAATCTGAGTGTTCACATTAATACAATGTCCACTTTTAATAATCCGAAAGATTAATCTGAGTGTTCACTTATATTAATCCGAAATATTAATACGAATATCCACTTTATTAATCCGACAGATTAATAGGAGTGTCCACTTTTATTAATCCGAAATATTTATACGAGTGTCCACTTGTATTAATCTGACAGATTAATACGAGTGTCCACTTTAATTAATCCGACAGGTTAATACGAATGTCTGCAAGAAATAATTTTTAAAGAGAGGAAAATATGTCGCATTAAACGATGGATCGTGCTACTTTTAAATTTAAAGTTTTTAAATTTTAATTTTTAATTTTTTTTTTAATCTAGCCAATTTCATTTAATTTTTTTCTTTTTCTTTCCATTAGTTGATATCCCACACTGTAATAAGAAAAGAACTCCCAGGAATGGAGCCTTTTTGCGCTCTGTCTCCTACAATATTTCACCAGATGAAAAGGAACCTCAAAAGAAGAGAAATATGCCTTCCACCTTTGGGCTGGTCATACGAACAATAAGAAAGTTATAAGGGAAATGGAAACAATAAGGAAGCGTAGACTTAGACTAAGAAAGAGAGTGTTCAAATCTCTTGTGCACATAATGAGAAAAGAGGGCTTGGAGAATATGACACTGACAGGACATTTTGAAGCCAAGAGTAACAGCGAAGAAACTGCCTAACGAGCTTCCGTAAAGAGATGATTGATCAGGAACTGGGGAGTATGATGGAATGACAAACCTTACTCGTCACCAAAAAGGATAGGAAGTTGTGGAGAGTCATGATCGCTAACGTTCTGACGGGACGCATACAAAGAAGAAAACGGGTACATGAATGAACTGACGGATATAACGGAAGAGCAGTCAGTTTGTGTAAATATACCAAGTGGATTAGCCTTGAAAATAAGCATTTTAAATTGTGTTCCTTCACTGGATTTGAACCCTCGTCAAAGGTACTAGTAAAAAAGAAAATTTGAGGCCACTAGACTACATACATAAACTAAACTAGTTACATTCCATTATCACTGATCGGACCCCAAACTACCACAAGTCTCGATGAATGGATGTCCTCTCGGAGGCCCTGTGCCTTGAGCGCCTATTGTGCCTTAAACTCGTGGAACTCGTAGATACGATCCATCACGAAAGATGCCGGAAATATGGTCAGTTCTCTGGACCGCTCCAGTAAGAACCTGACTCTTGCTCTTCTCTGAACTTTGCAAGAGACAGATCATTCCATAAATACTACTGCTACCACATCTGGGTTAGAGCTGCACAGACTTTCATTTTTTTTTTTTTTTTTTGATAGAGTACAATATTGGTTACGTGGCCTTGTGGGGGATGAATTATTTCCCACAATACAAGCCCTTTTCTCCCAGACGAAACGTTGCAAGAGTCTCGCTGCTCAATCGCTATTTCCATGGAAAATGTTCTGACGATCTACATTCCTTAGTTCTACCAACAGTATCCCTCACAGCTAGAACCTGCCATCACCAATCATGATGAATAGATTTCCTTCGGGGGGGGGGTCCCGTGCCTTGACCGCCTGTCGGGTATAAAACTCAACCCAGGCCACATGGATTTCCTACATACGATCCATCACTAAAGTTGCTGGTAAAATGGTCGGTTCCCTGTACGACTCAAGTAATTACCTGACACCCCGTGCTATCCTCTATCGTTACAAGAGCTACACCCTATCTGAAAGTTATGTTGTTTGTCACCTTCATCTTCAAAATTGTCTATAGATTTTCGATCGGATTCAAATCAGGACCTGATGTTGGCCATTCCATTATGTTCTCTCCGATAAATCTTATATGCTCAAAGAATTCACGGGTAAGTTTCGATACACGAGAAGGAGCATTGTTGTGCATAAATACACACTTCACTTTTAAACTTCAAGACTGACTTGTACGATGCAAATAAATTCTTGGTCATAAAATCACAAAAAGATCTACACTCTGTCTGAAGTTATTAAGCAAATCATATAAACTTCAATAATTCACATTTGGTTTGAAAAAAGTCAAATTTTAAATAATTTAGATGTCAAAGCAAAGCCTGAGTTAAAATTTGAGGTATTCTCGACACATTTTATTGAAATTATGAAAGTTATTTGATGTATTCTAAAAATCAGCCGTCTGAAGTTATTAGGCAAAACCAAATAATCACATTTTACTTCAAGAAAAATGTAATAAAATCATCAAAAATTGATCAACACCTATAATAGAACAAATAGCAAACACATATGATAAGGTCTATGAATTCTTTACATTTTAATAGAGTGATCCTTCTCAATAACAGCCAATAATTGATCATCCATCGATTTTGCTATTTCTTTTATTTCAGCGGATTCAGTTACCGACAAGGTAGTTTTAATTGCCTCACCGGGGGCTGTTCTGCCGTTATATTGTTTGCCACCTTCAGATAATTTCATCTTTACAATTGTCCATAGATTTTCGATCGAATTCAGATCAGGAATTGATGGTGACCATTCCATTATCTTCTCTCCTATAAATCTTATATCCTCAATGAATTCACGGGTAAGTTTAGATACACGAGAAAGAGTATTGTCGTGCATAAGTACACACTTCATTTTGAAACTTCAAGACTGTGACATGTACGATACAAAGAAAATCTTCATAAAATTGCAGTAGTTAGCATTGTTCAGTTTAACTGATTCATCAACTTTGTATGGGTCCAATAATGGTTTTCTCTTTTCAGTCACGATAGAATCAAAAACAAATCTCCGGTATCGACTACCTTTACAAGATTCAGATCAGGCTGAAAATTGAATACTGCCGCCATATATGGATAGGGCCAGCCCAGTCTTCACTTTCCAGTCTCAATAGAGTCCAAAAGCGTTTCCACTATCCTCAGCCTTTACAATAAGCAGATCAGGCCGAAAATGGAGTACTGCTGCCATATATAGGGAGGAGCTGCCCAATCTTCTCTTCAAGCCTCAATATAGTCCAAAATCGTCTCCGCTATCCTCTTTCTTTACAATATGTAGATCAGGCTGAAAATGAAATACTGCTGTCATATAGAGTCAGGAGCTGCTCAATCTTCACACTCTAGTCTCGATAGAGTCTCTGCTTTCATCTGCATTTACAAGAGCCAGATCAGGCTGAAAATGGAATACTGCTGCCATATATAGGCAGTAGCAGCCCAATCTTCACTGTCTAGTCTCGATAGTGTCCAAAAGCGTCTCTGCTACCCTCTGCCTTTACAAGAACCAGAGCAGGACGAACATGGAAAACTTCCGCCATATATGGAGAGGGCCTGCACGGTCCTCACTTTCCAGTCCAGATAAAAAAGCGTCTCCACGTCCCTGTGGGTGACTAATTTTTTTCCACCCGCAAACTGCTTTCTCAAAGACGAAATGTCACAAGCTTCTCACTGCACTCTCGCTATTTCCATGGCAAGTGTTCAGACGAAATACATTCCTTAGTTCCACCAGTTCTAACCTTCACGGCTAAGACCCACCACGCTACGCAGACCATCCTCATTCCCTTTGTATTCCATTGGGGAAATGGAAGTTTCACTCCAGAAACTTCTTCCCACGAACCGCTCGCTGCTTTATGGAATCGACTCGCAAAAGAATGATTCCTCGATCACTACACACTTAACCTGTTCAAGTATAGGGTCAACATTTATCCTCCCCACATATCTACATAAACTCTGCGGCTTACATTGGAATCCTCTGCCTTGAGTGACTCCCGGGCTTTGGACAGGACGAACATCACTGTAAAGAAAGAAAATGTGAGCAGTTAAAATGCTTTGTTGGTTTTACGACAAGCCAATAATTTGGGGGTTATTTAATGTCGAATTTTGTACGTGGTACCCAGTGAGGATCGACATCACTACCAATTACGAACTAGACTCGTCACATAAATAGTTATCGTTACAGAAAGAAAGAAAGAAAGAAAGAAAGAAAGAAAGAAAGAAAGAAAGTTACAGGAAAGAAAGAAACAAACAAACAAACAAACAAAGGTATAAAAAAAAGGAATGAACAAACAAACAAACAAATAAAAGGCCATCAATGTGAAAGAAGAAAGCTCAAAATAATTACAAAGAGAGAGAGACAGAGAGCGGGATGGCGAGAAAGGGAAAGAGAGACATGAAAGATTGCTTGAGAGAGTGAGAGAGATTATGTTCTCTAAAGTGGGGAGTTAGGTTTTGGCAAAAGCAAGGGAGAAAAAAGAGATTGGAAGCCAAAGAGGGCAATAAATAAGAATGATAAGTAACCATCGTTCGTTTGTTATTTTACCTCCATTTTGTTTTCGCTGCTTGGCGCATTTCCTCAAGTTGGGTCAGCCTGAGTAGACATCCGGTCCTACAATTGACATACTGACAATTCATCTGCCATTGCTCCTTTTCCGTTCGGAAACTCCATGCCTTGCTCTTATCTTTCACTATTTACATTGTTATATACTCTCATTATTTTCTTCTTCGACCATTCGTTTCTCTTCTTCCTGTTTCTTCTTCTTCTTCTTCTTCTTCTTCTGTCATCCATTTCTCTTCTTCCTGTTTCCTTCTTCTTTTTTTTTACATTGTTTCTATCTTCTTCTTCTTCTCATTATTTTCTTCTTCGACCTATTCGTTTTCTCTTCTTTCTACATTTTCTTCTACGTTTTCTTCTTCTTCTTCTTCTTCTTCTTCTTCTTCTTCTTCTTCTTCTTCTTCTTCTTCTTCTTCTGTCATCCATTTCTCTTCTTCCTGTTTCCTCTTCTTCTTTTTCCTATTATTATTATTATTCGATCATTCTATTCTTCTTCTTCTTCTTCTTCTTCTTCTTCTTCTTCTTCTTCTTCTTCTTCTACTACTACTACTACTACTACTACTACGATTCTTCCCTTCTCTTATTCCTGATTCTACATTTTCTTCTACGATCCTTCGCTTCTCTTCTTCCTGTTTCTTCTTCTTCTTCTTCTTCTTATTATTATTATTATTATTCGATCATTGCATTCTTCTTCTTCTTCTTCTTCTTCTTCTTCTTTATTTTCGATTATTCCATTTTCTTTTCTTCCTTCTTCTTTTCTTCTCTTGTATACTACTACTATTCGCTTCTCTTCTTCCTGTTTCTTCTTCTTTTTCTTTTTCTTCTTCTTCTTCTTATTATTATTCTTATTATTCCATCATCCAGTTCTTTTCTCCTTCTTTCATCATTTTTCTTTTCCAGGATTCTTTCTTGTATAATTATTCCTTCTTTCTTCCTGTTTCTTCTTCCTTTTCTTTTTCTTCTTCTTATTATTATTATTCTTATTATTCCATCATCCGGTCATTTCATTTTTCATCATTTCTTCTTCCTGATTCTTCTTCTTCCTTCATCATTTCTGTTTCTTCTTCTTCTATTTCTTCTTCTTCTTCTTCTTCTTCTTCTTCTTCTTCTTCTCTCATTCCCTGTAATCTTCATTCTTTTTTCTTTCGGCGGCAGTGCCTCTTCCTCCTCCTCTTTTTTTCACCTAGTCTTCTTCTTCTCTTTCTTCTTCTTCAGCTAATCGTCTTCTTTCATTCTTTCTATTGTTAACGAATGACAACTTTATTACCACCTCCATTTTCCTTTTATTTCTTTCTGTTTGTCTTTCTTTCTTAATTTCTTCTGCAATTTTCTTTCGTTTGTTCTTTCTGCTGCCGTACTTCTTCCCCCTCTTCTTTCACACATCTTTCTTCTTTTTCTTCTTCTTTCATTTCTTCTTCTATTAAACGCTTGAGAATGCTATCTGCTCCTCATCTTCGCCTTCTTTCTTTCTATCCCTTTCTTTCTTTCTTTCTTTCTTTCTTTTTTTCTTTCTTTCTTTCTTTCTTTCTTTCTTCGGTAATCTCTTTTCTGTTCCCTTTCTTCTTTAGTGCTTCTTTTCCTCTTCTTTACCTAATTTTCTTCCTTTATGTTCTTCATACTGTTACCTTTCTATTTCTTCTTCCTTTTCTCTTTTACCTTTTCTTTCTATGCCATTTGCTCTTCCCACTCTTTCACTACATCAGCACCATTTTCCAATTCTTTCTCCTCGTCCTCAATCTTTCTTTATCTTCTTGTAACTCTCTCTTCTTCAGCCTTTCCCCTCTTCTTCATCTTTCTTCTTCCTCGTTTCCTTTAAACTCAATGTTTCTTTTACTTTTCCCTGAATGCTGTCTCGCTTCTTATTATTTTTCGCCATTATTCCTTTCTTTCATCTTTTTCCCTCCCTTCTTCTTTTCTACTTTTTTCTCTTTCTTATCTGAAGTTTTCTTCTTCCTTTTTTACGTTTAATTCTTCTGTCCTTTTATTTTTCTCTTCTTCTCACGATTCCTCCTACCCTCCCATTCCTCCCACTATTCTGTACACCATCCCCTTCATTTCATTATTCCTTGTAATCTCACCTTCCTCTCACTATAACTCACACTCTTCCGTTCCTCTCACCATACCTTATACCCTCACTTTCCTTTAACTATTCCTTCTATCCTCCCACTATCCCTTCTACCCTCTCTTTCCACTTAGTCTTCCATAATTCATTTGACCTCCTTCCGACCATCTTTTCCACTTCCAATCTCTCGTTTCCCTCTCACTTTCATCTCTTATACTTCCTCTTCTTTCTCGTCTCCTACCTGTCCATCTCTCTTCCTGATCCGCTTTTTCTTCTCAACGGACTGCTTCTCTTATCACTACTTTAAAATTTCTGTTCCTCTCACTATTCCTTTACTTCTCCCCCCTTCATGTCACTATTCGTTCTACACTCCCCTTCCTCTCACAATTCTTTCTACCCTCCCCCTCTTACTGTTCCATCATCTATCTTCCCCCCACTTCTATTTTCATTGCGATTCTTGGCTCTGTTTTCCCACTTTCTTTTTCTCGTCTCCCTCTCTTTCTTTTTCAATACTTCTTCTTCCTCCTACTCCCCTTCCTCCTTCTACTCCTCGCTTTCTTTCCCTCAACCTAATCCCTTTTTTCTTTTTTATATTATCTTATCCCTCTTCTAAATTTTTCCTTCCTCTCGCAATCCCTTCTACCCCCACTTTTATCTCACTACGCCTTCTACCCTACATTTACTCTCACTATTTCTTCTACCACTCCTTCCTCTCACTATTCTTTCTACCTACCTCCCTCTTACTAACCCTTCATCGATCTCTCCTACTTCCTGCTATTTTCATTGCGATTCTTGGCTGTGTATTTTCAATTTATTTTTGTTTTTATCGTTTCACCCCAAGCAAGGCGATAAAGCCACTAAGACACGAGAGACTAATGAGAGTGACAGGAATGAGAAAACTTTAGATGGAATCGAAAACCTAGTCCTAAACAGGAAACAAGGGATAAATTCCTCATCCTGTTCAAAAAGAGGAGAGGAGTGTGAACTGGACGATAGACGAATCTATCTACATCTATTGAGTAAAATAACTAAATAAATAGTAATTTAAACATTTTAGAGTTTAGGCGATGACGTCAGAAATACAGAGTTGAATTCGGCGTTAGAAGGAACCGGAAACACACTTCTAAACAGGAAGTAAAGGATAAAACTCTACTCCTGCTCAAAAGAAGAGGGAAGAGCTTGAACTGGACGATAGGCAAACCTATCTACTTTTGTATCTGTCTATATTTCTGACATGAGGTATTATGTACACTTTACATTATTCTGACTATTGCCCTTATCTTTGTCGCCATATTTATCACAATTTTCGGCCCTTCTTCAAGTGGTTGGAATGTCGAACTGAACCCTTTATTTCGCTCGCTGTGGTAGAACTTGGAGAGGTGAATTAACAGGAGATAACTGATAACTGACATCCATTAGACTTGGCACGTGGAACTAGAACAGCCCAAATGAAGGGTTCATTTCGACATTTTAACCACCTGAAGAAGGCCAGGACGTACAACTGCCGAAACGTTGTGATAAATATGGCAGGCAACAATAAAGATCTGGACTTCTATTCTTGTTTCTCTCTTTCTGAATAAATAGGTTTCTCCTCGTCTCCGTTACTTCTCGTTTTATTTCTCTCTCTTCTCTGCTCTCTGTCTTTTCTCTTTCTCTCTTTCTCTTTTTTCTCCTCGTCCTCCGTTTTTCTTCTCTACTGTTCGTTTTTCTCTTTAATTTTTCCTCTTTGACTTTTCTCCACTTTTCTTCTTCCTCTACGATTAGCAACAGCAAGATTCCAATTTTCTCTTTGTCTTTCTCTCTTCTTTTCTTCTCTTCTCTTTCTTTCTTTTTTCTTCTCTATTTTCTTATTCCCCCCCTTTCTGTCTTTCTCTCTCTTTTCTTCTCTTCTTCTCCCCCCCCCCTTTCTGATTTTCTTCCTCTATTTTTCTTATTCGATTAGCAACAGCAAGATTCTCAAATTTTTCCTCTTTGTCTTTCTCTTTCTTCTCTTCTCTTACAACAGATTCCTTAGCTTTAATTTTCCTCTTTTTTCTCTCTTTCTCTTTCTTTCTTCTTCTCTTTCCCCCCCTTTCTGGCTTTTTCTTCCTCTATTTTCTTATTCGATTAGCAACAGCAAGATTCCTCTTAATTTTTCCTCTTTGTCTTTCTCTCTCTCTTTTCTTCTCTTCTCCCCCCCCCTTTCTGGCTTTTTCTTCCTCTATTTTCTTATTCGATTAGCAACAGCAAGATTCCTCTTAGATTCCTTTCTCTAATTTTTTTTCTCTTCTCTTTGTGGCTTTTTCTCTCTCTCTTTTCTTCTCTTCTCTTTCCCCCCTTTCTGGCTTTTTCTTCCTCTATTTTCTTATTCGATTAGCAACAGCAAGATTCCTCTTAATTTTCCTTTTGTCTTTTCTCTCTCTTTTTTTTTCTTCTCCCCCCTTTCTGGCTTTTCTTCTCTTTTTCTTATTCGATTAGCAACCCCCTTAAATTTTTGCTCTTTGTCTTTCTCTCTCTCTTCTCTTCTCTTCTTATTTTCTGGCTTTTTCATTTTCTTATTCGATTTAGCAACAGCAAGATTCCTCTTAATTTTTCCTCTTTGTCTTTCTCTCTCTCTTTTTCTTCTCTTTCCCCCCCTTTCTGGCTTTTTTTCTTCCTCTATTTTCTTATTCGATTTTTTTCTCTTAATTTTTCCTCTTTGTCTCTCTCTTTTTTTTTTTTTTCTCCCCCCCCCTGGCTTTTTTCTTCCTCTATTTTCTTATTCGATACGATTAGCAACAAATAATTCCTCTTAATTTTTCCTCTTTGTCTTTCTCTCTCTTTTCTTCTCTTCTCCCCCCTCTTTTTTCTTATTCGGCTTTTAATTTTTTCCTCTTTGTCTTTCTCTCTCTCTTTTCTTCTCTTCTCTTTCCCCCCTTTCTGGCTTTTTCTTCCTCTATTTTCTTATTCGATTTAGCAACAGCAAGATTCCTCTTAATTTTTCCTCTTTGTCTTTCTCTCTCTCTTTTCTTCTCTTCTCTTTCCCCCCTTTCTGGCTTTTCTTCCTTTTTCTTCTCTTTTTTCTTTTTCTTCCTCCTATTTTCTTATTCGATTAGCAACAGCAAGATTCCTCTTAATTTTTCCTCTTTGTCTTTCTCTCTCTCTTTTCTTCTCTTCTCCCCCCTTTCTGGCTTTTTCTTCCTCTATTTTCTTATTCGATTAGCAACAGCAAGATTCCTCTTAATTTTTCCTCTTTGTCTTTCTCTCTCTCTTTTCTTCTCTTCTCCCCCCCCCCCTTTCTGGCTTTTTTTTCCTCTATTTTCTTATTCGATTAGCAACATAGGAGATTCCTCTTAATTTTTCCTCTTTGTCTTTCTCTCTCTCTTTTCTTCTCTTCTCTTTCCCCCCTTTCTGGCTTTTTCTTCCTCTATTTTCTTATTCGATTAGCAACAGCAAGATTCCTCTTATTTTTTCCTCTTTGTCTTTCTCTCTCTCTTTTCTTCTCTTCTCTTTCCCCCCTTTCTGGCTTTTTCTTCCTCTATTTTCTTATTCGATACGATTAGCAACAGCAAGATTCCTCTTAATTTTTCCTCTTTGTCCTTCTCTATCTCTTTTCTTCTCTTCTCCCCCCTTTCTGGCTTTTTCTTCCTCTATTTTCTTATTCGATTAGCAACAGCAAGATTCCTCTTAATTTTTCCTCTTTGTCTTTCTCTCTCTCTTTTCTTCTCTTCTCTTTCTTCTTTATTCGATGGCTTTTTCTTTTGTCCTCTCTTTTTTTCTTTTCCCCCCGTTCTGGCTTTTTTTCCTCTATTTTTCTTATTCGATACGATTAGCAACAGCAAGATTCCTCTTAATTTTTCCTCTTTGTCTTCTTTTTCATTTAAGATCTCTGTTCTCTTCTTTTTTTATTACACTCCCCACCCACTCATTTTTTCTTTTCTTTTCTTCCTCTCAGTACTTTCGTTGATGCTCTCCCTCTCGTTTATTCATTATTATTATTATTATTATTATTTCCCTCTCCTTTTCCTAATCTACCGCCCCTAAACCCATGAAAACAATCTTGGACAATGTCCAGATTCTTTCTCTGCCCCAAAACTGGACATCGGAAGAGTAATTAAGGGGCCTGAACTAGCCGCCGCTTTCTTGCTAGCCAAAACGAAGGAGACCGAAATTAATTTGTCCGTTGTAACCTTCCACGCCCCACCCACCTTGTTGCCACCCCCATCTTCGTCTTCTTCTTGAAGGATTGTTTAATAACACAAATGCTCTCTCTCCCCTGTTTCGATACTTCTTTTTCTTCGCTCTTCTCTCCTTTTCCTTCCTCCTCTCTTACTCGCTCCCTCTCTCTCCCACTCTCCCCCTCTCTCCCCCTCTCTCTCTCTTAATATTATATGACCATGTGACTCCCAGGTGTACTCAGTGCTTCTCTATTGTTCGTCTTTTCCATTTTTCTTCTCCATTAGCTTTCTTTAATATTTTTGTGCCATGTCTATAGCCCAAGTCCTTGTTATATTAAGTTCTTCTTCTTCTTCTTCTTCTTTCTTCTTCTTCTTCTTCTTCTTCATCATCATCATCATCAAAGTAAACACAGACACACACATCTATCTATGTATCTATCTATCTCTCTCTCTCTCTCTCTCTCTCTCTATATATATATATATATATATATATATATATATATATATATATCTTCCTGATTTATCCTTTCCTCTTTTTCTTCCTTTTCTCTTTTTGTTTCTTTACGATTATTTTTCGTCTTCTTTATCTTCCTCTTCTGCTTGATCTTGCATCATTTCCTTTTTTCTTCTCATTGTTTAATATTGATTTTAATATCTTCTTCTTCTTCTTCTTCTTCTTCTTCTTCTTCTTCTTCTTCTTCTTCTTCTTCTTCCCCGAAGCTTTTTCACTCTCTCTTTTTCATATTATCTTCAGCTCCTCGTAACTTAATTACTTAATTCTCGCTTCTTCTACCCAGTCTTCCTCATTCGCTCCTTTTATTTATTTATTTGTTTATTTATTTGCTTTTTTAGATCCCATTATTACAGCCCTCACTCTTTCAGAAGAACTCTCCCAACACTCTCTTCTCCTCTTGATTTCTCTCTTCTCCCGCTTTCTCCCCCTCCCTTTGTCTCTATAATTCCCTGGTTTTCTTTCTATCTTTTTCTTTCTTTCTTGTTTATTTGTTCTTTCCTTTTTCTTTCTCTCTTTTTCCTTCCTTTTTTTTATTTTTTGTTTTTTCTTTCTTTCTTTAATTATTTCTTTCTTTCTTTCTTTTTTCTTTCTTTCTTTCTTTAATTATTTCTTTCTTTCCTTCTTTCTTTCTTTCTTTCTTTAATTATTTCTTTCCTTCTTCCTTTCTTTCTTTCTTTTACCCCCCCCCCCCACATTTATCAATCTCACTCTTTCATAAACCACTCTCTCCTTCTTCTCTCCGTTTTTCTTCTTGATCTCTCATATATTTCTGTATTTCTTCCTCTTAATTCCTACACTCTTACTCTCTTTTACCTTCTCCCTCTTTCTTCGTTTTTATTCTCTTTCCCTTTTTCCAGATCCCCCACCCCACGGTGTTGTATTCGAACATGTTTAGTGTTTGGCTACTCGCTAATTCGCTTTCTGGCCGCCATTCTCTGATAAGGCATTAGTCGCGATGATTTCATCTGATAATGCGTTGATCCTCTCAAAGAAGACCGTGTGGCTTGTATCCACACAAATGGGTGGAGGTCTGAGTGTGGGGGGATTTATCGTTCCTAATCATGTGCTGTGGAAGGTCGGAGGGTGTGTTCATGGATGATACTGGGTGTAATAGAGTTACCGGCATTAGTGGCTTGTTGTATTTCCAGGGATATTGCAGTGTGGTTGGGCCGGGTGTTCGTCGAAACTTGTAGGTGGGGGTTGTTGGCTTGCGCTCGGCCGGGTCAACAGTAAAACCCCGGCTTCCATTCGTCGTAAATACTGCTGCTTTTGCTATATACTACGCTACACATACCGGTCTGTTGAAAGCAACCGCGACGTAATCAATTTAGATGCCGAGCTGAAGGTATAACGCACACGTACACTCACAATCGCAAAGACAGATATACATGCTGAGGCATGTTATCATACTTATTATAAAACCCAGGTTGTGTGTGTGTGTGTCTGTTTCCTACAATTTTCAACCGATTTCAACAAAACTTCACAGGACTACGTAAAATTACCTTGCGGTGGTTCTGACAGCGCCCAAAATTGGAAAAACACAGTTGTTTTTGCACGAAATCAATTTGAAAACACGATTAAGAGGCATCGCTTTTACGAGAATAAAAGGGGAACAACTCATATCGAGTTATACTTATTATAAAACCCAGGTTGTTTGTGTGTGTGTGTGTGTGTCTGTGTGTGTTCGTTTATATATGGGTTCGGATTTCCTACATTTTTCAACCGATTTCAACAACACTTCACTTTTTGGGGGCAGGTAGTGTTTCGTATTGTTTTGCACACTTTTTTCTTTATTTTTACATTCAGAATGCTTTAAAATTCCATTTACAAGACAATTGTTTATAATAAAATTCTATTCAATCGGTAGACTCATAACGATTGAAAACAATGTTTTTGTTTGAGTTTGGGTTTGACCAATTCATAGAAAAAAAAAATCTAATTAAGACATGCGTGTCCGTCAACCTTAAACAATAATCTTTGTCAATTTTATTTTTCAGTCTTTATGATGGTCGATACTTGATCTATCTCTTACTGTTACATCCCCGGGCAACGCCGGGCTCTACTGCTAGTATGTAATAAAATCTTTTTAACTTTTCGAATTTAATCTGTAAATTCTTCAAATAATGTCGGTCTGCACATCCGCGTGAACACATACACTGCAGTTCAAAAGTTTGAAGCCAGGCCCAGAAGAGAGAGAGAGAGAGAGAGAGAGAGAGAGAGACAGACAGACAGACAGACAGACAGACAGACAGGAGAGAGAGAGAGAGAGAGAGAGAGAGAGAGAGAGAGAGAGAGAGAAGAGAAAAACAACTCTGAGGGTTTTTGACAAAAGAATGGAACCAATTACCAAACTTATAATTTGAGAAACTTTTGCAACAAATGTCAAATTTTTTTTTGCGGCGGTAATCAAGGCTAAAGGAGGATATTTTGACGAGAGCAAAATTTAATCATAAAATGCTTTTTTTTTCTTATTGTCGTAATAAATATTCTAATAAAAATCATGTCTCACGTTTTTTTTAACCATCTATAATAATGTTCTCCTATTGAAAGTGCAAAACAACTACTTTTGGGGCCACTTAATTAACAGGGGGCACCACAAACTTTTAAGTGGTTGTGTGTATATACACATATATGTGAGGGCATTTGTTTACATTTGGATACGCATCGAGCAGATATGAAAGTACGGGAGAAAATCATGGAAAATTGTAGTTTAAAAACAGTAAAATCGATCTTATTAACCGAACGCTCCTTTGTGGCTCAATCGGTAAAAGCACATCAGGCTATATGACAGTTACGTATAGGATACAGGTTCTATTCCTGTCGGAAGGCGCATATTTTATATAACAATTTCTCGGACATTGAGGCCGGTAAATGTTGTTAATACTTTTTATTATAAAAAAGAGCATTTACTTGAATATTTGTATCTATAAAAAAAATGTATAAACATAAAAATGTCTTAAAATACACACACACACACATATATATATATATATATTTACACAGACACACTTATCTATAGATAGATCAGTCAGTCAGTTATGTGTCATGAGTGATACGCTTAGGCGATAATGAATCTTCCAATATATGACTGACGAGGTAGATTTTTTCTTTTCCCACAGTAGGTTGCCATTTCTTTCTGCAGTAGACCAGTTGCCATCCAAGACTATAGAACCCGGTCTGTCCTGCTATTTACCCATAGTTGGTGGGGGAGAAGAAGAGGTTTCATAATTTTCCCAAGTGTCAGTCAATTATGTGCCATGTGTGATACACGCTTAGGCGATCATGTATCTTTTGATACATGACTGACGAATCAGAATTTTTCCCGCAGTATGTTGCCATTTCTTTCTGCTGTAGACCAGTTGCTATCCAAGTCATAGAACCCGGTCTGTCCTGCTATTTACTCATAGTTGGGTGGGGGAGAAGAGGATTCGTACCTTTTCCAAGGGTATTAGCACGTAAGTGAATGTAATGGATTCGACTGGAATTCGAACTCGGCTCTCTGATTCCTCACTCCGAGCCGCTACCCATTACTACTCCGGATATAACAAAACCATATGTATACGCACATATACTTGCACGTACTTATATTTTTTTTTTCCTCAGGTGTCTTTCTTTTTTTTTTTTAAATGATTTTTTTTTAACTTTTCGCCTTTCAAAATTAAAATTTTATTTAATATGAAATATAAATAAATATCAATTTATATTAATAATTAATTTATTTAAGTATGTATAATAATTTTCTCTTATTTAATGTACAAATAAATTACTTTTGAGCCCATTTAAAATTTACCAGGGACTTCACGAATCTTTTGAAACTTAGTGCATATCGACTTTCTAAGCGTAGATTAGATGTAGCACAAGTATAGGACACCCAGTAAGGATCGAACTCACTACTAAGTCGAAAAGGGTCTAGGGAGACAAACTGGTTAAACTTTACACCACATAGAGGTGCGCTCCGCGTAAAAGCAGATATGTCCATATGCAAATCATGTCCACAATGTCCTTGAATTTTCCAACAAATTTAATATTAAAATTTACTTATCGAATAAATTTAATATCACATATGCAAATCGTTTACATATGTCCTCAAATTTTTCTAATTTCTTTTTTTTAAAGTAAGTTTCACCCTGTACAAGGCTCGGAGCTACTCAAGGTAGAGTAGTAGTTTATATGGATAAGAGGGGAAGATAACGGTTAACTCTAGACTTGAACTGGTTACGATTTTAGTGATTGGGGGAAATATCCTCTTGGGAGTCTGTTCCACAGGGCAGAGGTTCTCGGGAAGAAGCTGCTCCAGTGGAACATAGAATACGAAGGAAATTAGGGTGGTTATCTACAATGGGCGTGGCATG